GGGGGGGCCCCACCGGCGCCCGCCCCGCTCTGCTGCTGGAGCTCCCAGGAGGTCCCACCTGAGTCTTGTCTTCAGGTGAATCATTGTCACTCATCGCTGTCTTCTCAACTCTACTAGACTACTGATGAAACCAGGCTGGCTTGTATCCAAGTAATTGTTCTCCAGCTGCAGGATCAGACACTGCCAGAATTTCTTATCGTGCAGCATGAGAACAGACTCAGGATCAAACCTTAAATCTTGCTGCGTGGTACCCTGTCACTGCAGCAGCTGGGTCTACTCCTGCATCTCAGTCCCTCACACTCTCTGAACTTCTCAATCACCATTTTTCCCACATCCTTAACCTTTTTCAACTCATCCATAGCCAGGAGGATACCTGGAGGATCTGGTGGGCTGCCTATTGCTGTGCAGGCTGGATTGCGGTGGGGTGAGGTAGCCCCTCTTTATGCCAGGATGCCTGGGGCTTGGCACTTGCACTGAGCTGCAAACAGGACTCAGAAGGAAAGCTGTGAAGCTCCTGCAGACCCCTGGATTGGGGTGCCCTGGGCAAGGAAGAAGTTTTGGGGCAGTGTCACCTGGTATCTGGATCAGGTACTGGGGTGGCCTAAACTCAGATCTTTTGCTTTACTGCAGGCCCAACGGTGGTTGTGTGAGATGCTGCCAAGTGCTGGTGTCTGTTACTTCCCATGGGAGATCAACAGCTCAGTCCCAGAGGGGAAGGCACTGAGGACATTTGGCAGGTGAGAAGGGTAGCCTGGTCATCTTGCAGGCCAGACCTTTCCTTCAGTGGCTGACCCCCCTCCCTTTGTTTGTAATTGTCGTACCTCTGTACCGCTGAGCTTCCCAAACTGATCATTCCCAGGTTATGCTGCTATGACCTGGCTCGGTCTGAAGCCGTTCTCACCGCTCAGCACAGCTCAGCTCAGTACCGGGTCTGTGTCAACACCAAGTTTGTGGAGCCATTCCAAGCCCAGCTGGGGTCTCGCTACATGGTCCTAGGAGAGGCCGAACACAGGGAAGGTAAATGCTCCAGGAAC